AATTAAATATGTGTTCAGAAGTGGTACACATACAAAATGTTTTTTTTTCAATATGGAAACTCGTTATTACTGTAAATTGTAAATCAGATGGTTTATTTAAAAATATTGATTTATCTGAATCAAACAAGTAGTCTCTAAAATAATACATATTTTCTAAAAATGTAGATTYTAATAAACTTATAAGTTGGTATATATTCTATTGTTGTACTTAATACCTACAACTGGCTACAACTTACTCAAATAATTTTAATAAAATGCTTATAGATTAAAAATTGCAATTAATACTAAAATTTTTTAATCATATGATGTGAAATACCTATTATATTTTTTGAATAGACACATAATTTTAGCATAAAACTTGTATAATAGTTGTGTGAAATATATATTTGAGACTATATAGGCACTCGTTCGAATATCGATTTAGATACATCATGCACATTTTCAAAGTTAACAGTTAAAAGTTTTTCAATGGTGTATATGAAGGAAAAACTCTTTTTAAAAATGCCAAGGAATGAAAATAATTTATATTGTGTAGTCTTCAAGTAGGTATACCAAGTATAATAATATAATAATGGAAAATTTAAGAAGTGTGAATTCAGATAAACGGACGACTGAAGCATTCGATTACGGTTGAGCACACTTGACCAAAATCACCCTGTATGGCAATGGGAGTCGTAGCGTGCCGCCTGTGTGACGCCATGCCGAGTCGGCGGCGGCGCGTGGAAGACATCCGCGAAGCGCTCGAACAACGTATTTAGACCGTCGTCGGCGGGGGTGTGTTGTGGCCCGTGAACGTTCGTGCGCCGTCGCTTCCTATTCACCGTATATGTGTGTGGGTGTGTGATGTGTTTGCGGCTGTATGTGTATATGTGTGTGTGTGTGTGTGTCCAAACACGAGCAACCAGAGTCCGCCGCCGCCGAGCGGATTACGAAAATAAAATCCCCCATACGCCCCTAGCGAACCGACGCCTGTTGGTCCCCGCGATTAACCGTCGAACCGAACTGTGGCGGTCGGATTTTCGTAGTTTTAAAACGCGTCGATTTTTCATAACGAACTGCATCYGTTATGTACACAACCGCTATGTAGGTATACATTATAATTATTATCAATTAACCGCTAAAATATTATATTGTTACCGATTCAATTTCTCGTTTTTATTATCACAGTTCGCTTTTCGTTTCGTTGGGTTCCGAACGACCGACTACCGTYGAGTGGTGTGACTGCTAAAATATATTGTGATAATATATATCGTACGACGACGACAGAAGTCTACGGCCGTCGGTGCCGTCCATTAATATATCGTCGCGAATTACCGCGATCGCAACCTTTACGCCGCCACCGAGACGATTTGTACGTCATCGTCGTCGCCGCCACCGCCGTACGCGTAATTATTAATTGTAATTGCATTCGTACGTGGCCTATGCAACGTGTCCTCGACGGCCACGCTCCTTTTAACGTCCGTCGTCACCATCGGCACCACCGAGTGCTCGGAATGCTGTAGCCGTTCGCGCACACGCCCGACTCGGGTGGTTCTATTATTAAACGCGTCCGTCGTYGCCGGTGCGGTGCATCGCGTCATATTATTATTACAACGATGATAATCGTGAACTGCAGGCGCGGTGTCGTCGTCGTGTGAAAATAATTCGCGTGTGTACACAATAATAATAAATACACGATTTAACACATAATAAGTAACGATCATGATGTAATACACATCATATAATTATATTATAATCACAAAATTGTGCTACAACAACGACGACGGCAACAACAGCAAAAATATATAATAATAAATGGTCGTGGAGGGGAGGAGGAGACACTATTTCGTCGGTACGTATATCATTATACGACCGGAGCACTACACGCGTAGACCACACGTGGCAAGATAGGTGGTGGCGGCGATATGATGGTAGTGGTGGTGGTGGTGGCGTCGGAGAAGGAGGAGAAGTAAAAGGAGAAGGAGTCAGTGGCGGACGAGTGTGGTAATATTAATATAGGATTCTATACGCTACTATATATACGACGGTCACGCGGTATATAGTTGGTGTGATAGTAATAATATATTATTATATCGGACGGGCGGCGGAGTGATCGAACCTTCCAAGCTGGCCCATCAGTTTTGGCTCGGTTGGGGTTCGGGCTCGGGCTCGTGCCGCGCGCAGACGGACGAGGAGAAGAAGGAGAAAAAGGAAATGGCCGAGGCGGCGGCCCGGCACGAGCTGTTCACACAGCAGCAGTGGGCCCACCAGCGGGCCGAACGCGCCGAGCGAAACGCCGAGAGACTGGAGAGGGAGATACAGGCGCAAGCCGCCTCGGCCGCCGCGTCAGAGTCCCTCGCCGAACTGCACTACGTCGACAGCCTGTCCGGGTCCGTTCAATCCATGTAAGCGCGTTTWTCTTTATATGCAAAACTATACACATATAGTATTATATACCTAGCACCAGTAGTATAAATAGTACCTATCCAGATGTATAAATATCTAACGATCTGACCTGTAATGCCCAAGTCGATTTAAATTGCATCGAATGACGACCTCAAATAAAATATAACCGTAATCTTCTTATATGGATTTATTGCTGCAGTTAGTGTGTCTATTATTGGACTATTATAAACTTGCATTTTTTGGCACAATTTTCGATAGGTATCTACTCTTATTACGTCAGTACAATAATATAATAATAACATTAAATCGCGTCTGTATGCAACAGTTTGTTGATATGTATGTAATATTATAATATGTAATCGTCTAAAATCATTCTCTTACACCAACGACCTGTTCGTACATACGTCATTTATTTTATTCACCTACTTGAATGTCTGATACAAATAGCAATCGACATAGTATGTATACATCGATATTATACAACAGACGATTCAAAGACGGTAGGATGTATTTCGCTTTTTTTTCAATATTTTCGCACCGCAAAACTTCGCCTGTGCTGCATGTAGTGTGCACCTACTCGTATATTACAATAATAATATTGCGAAGCGTGTGCAGTCTATTAAATATATTTTTTTGCGCGCAGGAGGCGCTCCACGCGTTTATGTTATACATATTATTTTAGCGCCGTCGACGGCGATCGCTAGAGTCCGCGCCGCGCCGCCGACTGCCCGACCGCCGCGTGACGCTCGACTAACTGATACCGCCGCTGGTTGGAGAGGAGCGTGGTGTGCGGTCGACGGCGATCAATTCCCGAAAGTCGGCGAGGCACCCTCCAAACTTGGGCCACAAGCGCGCGCGCGCGCGGACGACCCGCCACCCGCCAGGGCAGCGTAACTGTTACTACCCACTGACGCACGACTATACGGCAGTTGTATGCGTACAAACTCTCTGGTCACGCGATACACGACGGACGTATCTCCCGTGGGTGCCGCGTAATACGTTCGAGCGGCGGGCAAACGCGCGATGGGTCCCGCGTAGCTGTTTGACCGCGACTTTCGCGGGCGCTGGGCGCGCATCGAACGACAATAATAATGCAATAAGCGTGCTGCTGCAGCAGCCGACGGAACATCGTCATCGCACCGTATCAATAATTGTAAACGTCGTTTTATAATATTTTTRTATAATTTCACCGTAGTAAAAACTCGCGGTTACCGCGGTATACGATCGTGTATTCAGGTATTTGTATACGGGGCGCGCGCGCGACGATACCATAATATTATGCCGTCGTGTCGCGGTCACCGTTGTCGCCGACGTCGCCGCCGCCGCCGTCGTCACGTCGATATCGCGTCACRCGCCGCCAGCCGTATGATGTGAATTCCGTTCGCGGTCTTTCGTTTCTCTCTRTCTATCTGTCTACCTATCTATATCTATTTATCTATCTATCTATACCTGTCTCTGTCCTCTCTCTTCATACAGTTCTGTCTCTTGTCTCTCTGTCTGCTTTTCTCCTGCAGTTAATAATATTTTGTATTACGCGCGACCCAAGATGTTATTTCAATTTCCCGTCAACGACGGAGGTGGTCCCCAGAGGACCAGCAGTTCTAGCAAAGACGACTCGCAACAGACGTCTCTGTATAAGTAAGCAATCAYAAGTCATAATATATWCATATAGGTATAGGTACTCACAAACAGTGTTCGATATAATATTATTTCGTTGACTACAGCTAGTGTTCTCAAATATTGGCATATCGATATAATATTATAAAGAAAGTACCTGCCCACTGTTTATCATAAAGGAATATATTTGTGTATAATTTCAAATACATAAAAAAATTATAAGAGCCTAATATAATAAATAATAATCATAGCCTATACATAATAACAGGCGCTTATACACTGCAGAATAAAATTCCGGGGAGATTGAATTRCAACACCCCTTGTATACGTGCCTGTAAAATAATATAATATACGTGAACAATATGTTTAGATTATTCATTACAATCGTATAGATACAATATTGTTTTTATTTCGATATATGCCTAATAGGAGTTATACATTAGAACGTTTTGAGTTGACGTCAGATGAGATATAGACAGGTACGTCACGTTGCACACGCGGCCGCGGCAAAGGCGTCAAGCAGTCTCTAGAACTTTRACGAGGAATCGATAAAACCCTTACAGCTGCTGATGTTACCCTCCTGCCTCACCACTTTCCCCTTGTCTAGCACGCTTAAAATGTTATGTGTACATAATAGAACATTGCTGCAGTGCTGCCTCATTATAGCTTGGACAACTATAATATAACTATAAATGAATACGTCATATATATTATGTATAGGTAGTAAGTATCTAAAACTATACGTTTCACTTTAAAATTGTTATACGAATTTTGATTATATAATTATTTATAATTAAATATTCATAAGTGTACAACTGTAGATTTTCATACGCGAGTGTTTTCAAAATTTTGATCCGCATGCATTTTTAACTATAAGGTATTCACAATTTATTTAATGTTACATAATTTTACGGCAAGAAATGTGTTRATAATACATTTTAACGTACGAATTACGAGTAGGTATACCTATAACAAGTAATAACTATATATAACTTAAGTGGGTATAATATTTACCGACGGATTCATTTTTTTGGTTTTTATTTTGAAATCTTATTAATAAAATAATAATACCTAATAATACCTAGACGTTTACCCGAATAATGTATTGGAGACTATTTGGAGTTTATTTCTAATGGCTATAATGTAAATAGTTAGGTACCTATATTAAACATTTTCAAAACTTATACAGTGAAATAATGTAAAACCTAATAAATATACATAATTAAGAATAATACATTGTATAACTGAATCGGTATACTACCTAAACCGATTGTACCAAAATCTACGTAAATAAGTATTAAAGTAAACCATGATGATTATTAAATAATACCATTGAGTATAGATAGTATAGATACTATCTATACTCAATGATAATACGTATATCATACATGTTAATATTATTGTCACTATATCAAATCTTTTTTGAACATAATAAGTTATTGTTTTAAATTGTCTAATATGAGAGTTCTGTCACTGGACAGAATAATAGTTATTACGACGCAATATACTACGCCTATAATCAGGCGGCTTTGTTTCTGTTTATCGTGAAATAAAAAAGTATAAGTTTTTGAAAAATCAAATTTTATACCTTGGCATAGTATTGTATGGTTATTCGTGTCGGTATAACTAAAAATGTTTAAATTATATGCTCAATCAGAACTAATTGAATAGGTAATCGATATACCTACTTGCATATTTTGAATTCTAGTTTTCTGAGTGCTTTATGATTGAATAAATATTCACCACAACTTATGATTATTTAAAAAAAAACAATGTTTATGTGATTTTTTGATGATCAAAACAACACCATTTACACAATTGCTTACTATACAGCACTATTTATTATATTTAGTTAAATGGAATTATAATAATATATAAAATATGTATATTGTATGCCAATATGTAATTAGTTATGACATTTTATTAGGTAGTTCTGGTACAATGGTACACCTAGTTCCAACTATAGACGTGTCATATAATATAGTACATTGACGATTGACTCTAAAATTATAATAATACTGCACAGGCTAAATAGATACTACAGTTGGACATATTATGTGTATAAGTTTTTTTCATTTAAATTTTTTAGTACAAAAAATAAAACTGTAAAAGGTACTATATTAAGTGTAATTATCTAAAAAAACGACAAAAGTTTTACAATATAAAAAACCCCAACAATTTTACGCTAATGCAGCTATATTATGGATTCATATTTCAGTATTTCACTACTGCAGATACATAAATTATGCAAGTATCYTCATTTAGTAAATTAAATACCTCTTCAGACACTTTATTAGCAAGTTTCTATAAACATTCTAATGTTCTCTTCGAAATATTCCAATCATGTTCCCAACTATAAGAGCACTTATATTATAGTATACTATAGTTTGCAGATTATGAACTATGGATATATTATTTATTTATATAATGAATATAATTATCTTTATACCTTTCAAATGTTACCTTTGTATGATATATTGTTTAAATACATCGAGGCACATAATACAATGGGACAGTAGGCTAAATATGATAAAGAGGGTTTACATGGATTTAAGTTACTTTTTCAATCTTGATAGTATAATCCTCCCTTTCCAACAAATTGGACGTTTAACTTTGACGAGTAAGTACAATTATAGTACGTGTAATATATCATATAATTGTTTTATATATAGCTAGGTATTAATTAGGAACAAAATGTTGTTATTCTTGTAATTAGATTCTAGTTTGGTTTATTTTTGGACTCAATATTTATTACCTCGGACCCTATAGTAGGTGTCCAACGATCAACTTATATTGGTTTGTTAAAGATAAAGTTTAGAACGGAAGAAAAGTATATAGAAATATTATGGTTGATTAGTGTCTTACGTGTTACTTAAGAAGTTTTGTGTCTATTGTCTATATGTCACAGAATTGTTACCTACTTGTTAAAAGGTACCTAAGTGTCTATGAATAATAAATATATWCAAATAGAGGTACCTATCTATACCTATGATGTGATGTTGTAATGAACGATTCATTCTTGTTGGCAGATGCAAGGCGCCGATAGCCAGCTTGGACTGCATGGCCGACCTGGGCAGCACCACGGAACAGCTGTGCGCCAAATTGCAAGCGGCCGCGGTAAAAGAGTCGGTTGACCGGGTGTCGTCCGCGGCGCAGTCGCCAAGTCTGACGTCTGGGCTCCGGTACCGAAACCTGGGTAAGAGCGGCCTGCGGGTATCCAACATCGGGTTGGCCACGTGGACCACGTACAACACGGCCATCAATGAAGAACAGCTAGACGCGGTGGTGACGGCCGCATACAATGCCGGCATCAACCTGTTCGACCTGACCGAGGGTCCGCAGAGCAGCGAACAGGCTGAGACTCAACTGGGTGCCATACTCAAGAGGAAAAACTGGAAACGTGTGTCGTACAGCGTCATCACCAAAATACACTGGCATTACAAGTACGTCTATCGGCTACCATAAACCATTAAATCAAATCGACTGAATACCACTATAGGTACAATATAAAATTATAAACAGATTTAAATATTATAATACATTTGTAGCAAATTATATCATAAAATGATAAGGCCTGACTTAACGTTTAAGGGGAGGGGCCACGTCCGCAGTGCCCACTTTGTTATGGGACTCCCAGATAAAAACTAGGAATTCAAAAAAAATTAAAAACTAAGCAAATTTAAAAAAAACCAGTAAGTTTATGCTTTGCTGTACGCAGTACACATGTATCTCGAGAGTCACTGTAATGGATGATGATGAGTTAAATTTGAATTCAATCCTTATGCATGAAAAACGGTTTCATGCAGATCGTAGATTATTAAGCCACTTAATTATATTATGGAGATTAAATTAGTTTATTTTACTATTAAGTATTAGTACAATATACAGTAGGTTAAATTCATTTTTGACAAAAATTTTTAAAATCATTGCATTTCTATAATATGTTATCGTGTTCATACTGTAGGTACCTGTACCTATACAATATAAATATATAATATTGTACTCTGAATCTAAAAGTCTCAGGTACCAAAGAATAATATTTTTAAATAACGAAAAAATAACTAAAATTGTTATTCTTACAGGTTTGAATATACCTATAATTTCGTCCAAATTTTAACTTAACATTTTTGTAAAAAATAACTGTACGAGTATGTCTGTATTTATATACTTTTACCGTCAAATTTGACTACATTTTTATGTTTTTTGATCGAGCGAAAATTTTTTATCGTTAATTAATAATAAAACTTGACATTTTCTAATGCCTATAAGACTATAAATAGCTGAAAAAAGTCACAATATCTCGAAAATTGTATGGTGCATAGAAATTGCTAATATAGTTCAATGGTTAGAATTATATTACTTTTATTTAGTACTTTTATATAGGTACTATGCTACTGACGTACTTTTACTTTATTTCTATATAAGAGCTGAATTATATTGAAATTAAAAAAAAAATTGTAAGTTGGGCAAGTGTAACACCCACTAGATTTGAAAATATTTACGGATTATTGACTACATATTGGCCCCCTGGTCTGTAAATAAATAAAAACAAGAATAATATGTCACGCAAAGTCACGTATAATTATGCCATTAAACAAATATTGCCTTCACAATAACTGTTAATTTGTGGATAACTTGACAAGGTTTTCTATGATTGAAAGTTGAATTTTTCTATCATCGCGTTATAAAAGTTATAACTAATAATAGATAAATTAACAAATTAAATACCAATACCATATATACGATATACCTAATATATAAAGTCTAATATTTTGTTTTTATTTTTTCGATCCAACCAGATCCGAAGAACGAGGGTTATCACGTAAACATATCATCGAATCCGTTCGATCGTCCGTCGCTAGACTTCAACTCGACTACATTGACATCGTCTTGATACAAAAAGCCGATCCGATGTGCCCGCTCGAAGGTTTGTCAAATTCTTGTTAATTACACCAATTGTACTATGAACTAATGCTAGGGAGATACCTAATACAGGTAATATTAGGATCATTAGGGACTAGCTATTAATCGTTTTTACATTTACAATTCACACCTATAGAAACAGTGGTGTAGCCAAGATTTTTGCGGGGGTGGCTGGTTAAATTTTACGCAGTGGTGATTTATTTAGGTTCTCTCATAAGTTAAACATTTAGAAAAAAGATAGTAAAAATAGCAATGAATTTTCTTTTTATATTTTAAAAATCCAATTAAAGACATTTTTAGCGACTTTCATAAACCATTAGAATAATTTTTAATTTTCTCAACATTTGGGGATAGGGGGTGGTACGTCACTGTAAAGAAACCTATTATTAAATTGGTTAGGTGAAATACTATATACCTACACATTATATAAATATTATAAATTGATATTAATCATGTTAATCATATTTGACCCAGGTAATAAATATAATAAATAAGCTGTATTAATATACAATTATTATTCTCAATTATTTACATTTATATGTATTCCAATTTCAACCACTTATATAGGTCTATACATACAATTACAGTTTTATTAATACGATTTACCTGTTTTTATTGTATCAAAATGCAGAGCATTCAATAACTTGTAAAGTTATAACATATTATCTAACGATGCAAGTTTTTATGTAGATATAAAATATTAATGAAAAAACTGTTAGGTAAACAAATCGTAAGTTTCTTCAAATTGATTATATTCACAGAGATTAGTAATTACCTACACGTGTTACCTATACTCGAATTAAATTTTTTATTTTAATTAAGTATTATTTATAGACCGTGTTCGCTTTACATAAAAAAAAATTACAAAACATGCCCCGCAACAAGTTATTCGAACTTRTACTCGTATACCTACGTACCGCATATCATATTATAATATCGTTGACTAAATATCTAATATAGGTACTATTTATAAATATTGTATATTCAGTGAATAGTTTATATTATTAATTAATGCAAAGTACCAATATATTTGCAGAAGTAGTAAGAGCTATGGATTTTCTCGTATCGGAAGGACTTATAATGTATTGGGGYACAGCTAAATGGTCACCAATCGATGTCACCGAAATGTACACCGCTTGCAGACAACTGAATTGCTCTACACCCATCTTAGAACAATCTGAATATCACATGTTGTGCAGAGAAAAAGTTGAGATTTACATGCCCGAACTATATAATAAAATCGGTCAGTCACCTAATACCTAGGTATTAAATGTTAAATTAATATATTCAATTTTAATCCTTTATGAATACAAATATTCAGGAGTGGGTTTAATGGCCTGGTCGCCATTAGCCATGGGATTATTGCCATCTTTCAAAGACTCGCTCAGAAGCCGATCGTCCAATAGGGTAAGTTAAGACAAAAATATAATTTCACTAGTCATATATAGGTGGKTAAAGGTATACAAATTAGATACCTTATGTATTTCAGACAAAAGCGTCCAGTATCAGTTGGAACCAGGATGATCGAAAACCTCCCAGTAAAGAGGTACAGGCAGTACTATTACTAAATGCTTTAACTTATAAACCATAGTACTATACACAGTWAACATACAATTGCATTTTTTACCAGAACCCATGTTTATAATATTTCAGAACAACGAACCATTGACAACAAGAAATACTAAGGAAATATTGTTTTCAATTTCATTAATAGCAGACCGTCTTGGCTGCAGCTTAGTTCAACTGTGTATAGCGTGGACATTAAAGAACGAAAGTGTTCAATGTCTCTTACTAGGAGCAGCAACAACACACCAGTTTTACCATGCTTTGCACGGACTACAGGTAAAAAAATTGGGTTTACAAAATAAATGTATTATATAAAAATGTATTTATTTCAAAATGTTATTGCAATAATAATAATATTAAATAAAAAAATAATTTAATGTAATTTAATATTTTAACATGTACACCAATCATTTTGTATTATTTGTTTTATAGTTGTTACCAAAACTCAATTCAAATGTAATGGCTGAATTGGAACGTATACTGGATAATAAACCAGTACGACCWCCAATGGTATCAACTTTAGCAATGAGATGACAAACAGTGTGCCCTCCTGGTGTGTTGGGGGGCACAGGCATGTCTGCTGATGGCATGAAAGAAAGCAATGATGAGTATGACATGAAAGAACGAAAAGTACCGTTTTGTGTGCTCCAATAAAATAAAAAATAGTTCTTGTGGCAAATATTGTAATCATGTTAGAATTATAGTTTGAAGTTAAATAAACGTCCAATTTTAATTGATTAGTAGTGTATTTTATTAATAGAAAAAATGTATAACTTAACTTACACAATTATTATTATTAATATTATTAGTGTAAATTTTGAACATAAAAAAGGACTGGTTTTAGGAAAACAAGTAAGCGTTGAACATCAGTATAATGTTTTAAAAGTATTTAAATCTATTCAAAATTTTCTCCTGGAACTCTGACATCATCTATTTTCAAAATCATTTTAACTAACTGTGCAGCCAAAACAATTTGTTGTTTCTTGCTGTGAAGAGTCTCAATAACATTTTGTTCTTTCATGTCTAGAAAAATAATATAAAATTTTAGTATGAACATTAAATATAAGAAATAAACAAAATATTTTACCATTAGTTCCAACAAGCATACAATCTATACCAAGAGCTGGGTTATTTTCTTTGATTTGTCTGGCTCTAACTTGAGTTAACGTATCAATAGGTGATAATCCGCTGTTCTCAGCTAAAGCTAATGGAACGCTTTCTAAAGCATCAGCAAATGCCCTGTATGCATATTGTTCAATAGAAGAAATCTTGTCTGCTTCTGTAGAAACAGCAATACCACATGAAATTTCAGCTGCACCACCACCATAAACTATACGGTTGTCTTGTACCAAGTTTCGAACAACACATAAAGCATCATGAATACTGCGTTTGGCTTCTTCAATAATCTAGATCATTACAGAATGTGTTTAGTTTAAAATACACATCGGCAATATATTCAACTAACCAACCATTTTATTTCCGCCACGTATAAATATGGTGACAGCACGGGAATTCTTGCATTCTTCAATTACCAACATTTTGTCTTTAGTGGTACCAAAAGACAGTTCGCTAACTTTTCCAGCATACCCTAGTTTTTCTTTAGAAACTTCTTCAAAACGAGGAATGATTCTTCCTCCGGTAGCGATTGCAATTAACTGTAATAAGTTTAAACATACATTTAGTATTTTAAAAATATCAAGTAATAATTCTTATATTTAAGTTCCAATTATTTACATATTTAACTGCTATAAGTTAAAATAATAAAGTAAACAATACATTTAATTAATTAATAAAAAATACTATTATATAAATAAAACTTACTTCAATCTCAGGACCACCAACCCAACGTACAGCGGGTAATTCGTGTTTCAATAATAAATGATTAGCTTCATCATCAAAACCCCATTGACAAATTGCTAATGTAGCACCAGCATCTTTAACCTTTTTTACCATCTCATTAAATGTATCTTGTTCGTATTTTCTTAGTGCTCTATAATCTTCAACTGAAGCTACATCCAACTTATGCTTGGTCTTTGGCTTAGGTGGTTCAAACGGACAAGTGAGGATGGCAAGGTGGACATCTTTCAGTTCCTAAAAATATGCAAAATATAATAATGTTCACAATAAAAATTAAATATTGTGCAATATGTACTTTTGGCATTTGAGGATGTGAAAAGTCTTTATCCACAACAACTCCTTTAACTAACATTGTGTCTTCTAATCTTCCTCCTTCTTTTCCTTGGACTTTGATTAACTCAAAATTGACATCACGTTTATCAAAATCTGCTACAGATATAACTGCATTTACAGCTATTTCGGCCATTTGACGATGACATTTGTTCACACTAAAATTAAACAAATATAAATATTATATTTTACACCATAAAAATTAAAAATAAGCTAAGATAAATGTATTGTTGAAAGTAATTAGAAAAGATTAGCAAAAATGAATTATTTTTATAAATTCACTTATAATTTAAAAATATAGGTTAATGAACCTTGTACCCTTAGGTTTTTAATTTTTACCAAGCTCAGTTAATTTTAACCACTGCGTAATCTAAATATCAGTAAATCACAATAAACTTTTATCCATGATTACGATGATTGCTATTAAAGTATTTTTGTTGAAATCAGCTCCAAATGGCAAATAACACTATTTCTTTTTAGACTTATTTGTACAATTGTACAAAACAAAATATTAAAAAGTTAGAAAATTTTATTATCTGGAGAACATTGTACCCGCATGCGTTGTCTTCATCTTGAGCACGTACAATATAGCAAATTACCATTCACTAGTTCCAATAGTGTGCTGTAAGTTAGATATTAGAGAGAATTTACATACTATATAACTTTTAGGTACCTAAGAATATTAACTGTTCTCTTGTTAGATTTCATAATTAAATTTTTAAGAGAGTTATGAGTAAATACCTGGATTTTCGTACAATTGCATATTTTAATGACATTTTCTAATTCTACAGAAACAAGCTACAAATCCAAATTAATTTAAACAAAGTTTTATATTACACAAAACTGCGTTTAGTTTTTTTTTTTTTAATGTACTAAATAGTACTTTTGTACACATTTTTTTATTTATATGTTGCCACATGAAGTATTGGACTTTTTTAAAATATATATATATAAAATACAATGTAATCAAGATAATAACTACTACGATAGTCGATAGATGATCGATTACATATATACATACAGTACTACAGTCTATCCGCAGCAGCCAGAAATTTAAAGAGGGTGCTACATCCACATGTGTTATCTCCATCATAGAAGTACATAATATAACAAATTTTACACTCAGCAAATCATGTTTAGTTTGTTACTTTAAAATTTAGAGTAAATTAATTGACTTCTTATAAAAGGATTATTTTTGAAGGTTTCTCATGGGTTTTATATTATATTTTAATTTTAAAGCAAATTATGAGTATTTTAAGATATACAAACAATTTACAATTTTAAAATACACTTAACTTTCTTTTAAATTAAAATATAATAAAAAGCCTATGAGAAGCCCTTGAAAATAATGTTACCTTTAATTTTTATAAGAGGTCAATTCACTCTAAATTTCAAACTAATAGAATTAAATGTGATCTGCTGAGTGTAAAATTGCTGATGCATTTGTAAAAATAAAACAACACACGCGGGGGTAGCGTCTTCTTAACCAAATATTGTTAAGTCAGTTACCTAGATATATATTGCCAGTTCATTATTATTTCATTTAAATTTTATATTTGAATATAATAGTCAATGTCAACTAATAATAATAATAAAAAAATAGTATTAAAATAATAAAATTTGAAGTATCTATCATAAMAATTTTGGTTTTGCACGATTATGTATATTATTAACTCTTGGTTTTTTAGGTGTTAGCTGCACAAAAACACTGTCTTTAATTACGAGTATGTAAAATATTAATTTTTGAAAATCCTCATGTGGATGCGACAACTTCTTAAAATAAATTAAATTGTATTTTAATTTAATTTGCAAATTTAAAAATTGTTTTTTTAATATGTATTAGGTACATAATGATATTTCATTACTTGTCCGAACTTAATAAATATCATTGAACTCATAGAACATAATACAAAATTAAATTAGACATACTAATTAGTAATAACTATGTATTTTTTATTTAAAATAATAAATAATTTATATTTCTTTTATTGAAAAATGGTGTTTGAATTGAGGTGATCTGAGAATTATTTTTTCTGGAGACATTTTTCTGCAACTCATGATTATAAATTAACTTAAACACTAATTTTTTTTATCTTTAGTAATTAAATTAAGACCATTAATTAAGAGTAAAATTTTAATGCATCACATACCTATATTTTTCATTACTAATTAATTAAAATTATATATTTTATTCAGAATAAGAACACACTATGTAGTAGATAAAATTTATGTTATTGTTCATACATATATTCCCATTAAGGCTGCCTACACAGATAAAACCACATGTTCAAACTATTTGAACATTCAATTTTGATGCCTCTACAGTGTGTTTTTAGTCTTTTCTCTTGAAAATTTATTAATAATGTTCCTTACATTTTGGATCCCAGAGTAGTCATAGCTGTTTTAATAAGGGGTTCCAAATTGTTGATATCAACTGGAAATGAATCAGCAATTGAGTCTAAATGCTTGCAAGCACTTTGAGCGGCCAATTCAAAACCATCTGCAATTCTGATAGGATGTATACCCTGATCAAGCAAATGTTCAGCTTGTTCAAGCAAAGCTCCAGCAATGACTATAACAGGAAAAAACTTAATAGTACAAATAAGAAATGTATTAGAAATTAATTAACACTTTACATACCTACAACACCAGTAGTTCCATCACCAATTTCATTATCTTGAGATTGAGACAACTGTACCATGAGTTTAGCGATCTCATGGTCAACATCCATCATATTCAAAATGGTGGCACCGTCATTGGTAACAGTCACTTCACCATCAGATGACACCATCATTTTGTCCAAGCCTTTTGGACCCAATGACGTGTACAAAGTCTTGGCGATGGACCGTGCGGCCATAATATGCGACTAAACATGTTGAAAATGATTATTTTACATCATTGTTATAATTGAGTTGGGTGCTAAATAGTGAATTTTGACCATTAAAGTAACGATTCAATTCGAAATAAACAAATGTGTGTGTGCATACAAGACCAGACGACAGACGAGCGCGTGGGAGCACACCTGGTCAGTGGTCGTAGACACACGGTTATTCTGAATTATGCTACTCTGAATTAAGGAACGAAGTCGGGGTCAAGACACAGAAACAATAGAATCGGCATCAACTTTGAACGTTTTTATCCAACAGTAAAAATAAAACAACGGCAAACCTTCAACGCATCGATTCCAGTCAGCCTACGCTGTTTGTGTTGGTCTTTGATGATGATGAACGGCGTACCGAATTCATCGAAACCCAACGATCCGGGTATGAAAGACATGGTCCCGTTGCCGACGTTTCTAGAGATGTGTCGTACGCGAACGAACGGATCAAAATGAACGGCCCGTTCAG